AACTTTTATAAAATTTCTATATTTTAATTATTTTACTAAACATTTTATTTAAATTACATTATTTTATTTATATAATCTACATAAACTTTAGTTATTATGATATTTACAACAAGGTTAATTTATTTCACAATTTAATACATATTTTATTTTCTATATTTTCACATTTTACATTAGGCATTTACTTTAATTAAATTATATGTTTAAACAATATTTAGGCTCTGAAGATGGCATTACGCCGAAACAGCGCTGTTAGCTTTATTCCAGTTTTAGATAAATATGAACTCAAACAATACCGCCTCGTTGAATGTCTTATAAAGAAGTTAATTAATGCAAAATGGGCAAACAATTTCAATGAAATTTGCATTTCTGAAAACCTCGTTCCTAAATATATATATATATATATATACATATATCTATATGTATATATATACATTGTACATACATAAATCTAAATATATATATATTTAATTATTGATGAAAATCACAGCATGTTTGGCGTTAGTTAACTTCCAATTTAACTTTTCGATTTTTCTAACGGTTGATCGTAAATCATTTTCAAGTTTCTTTAGTTCAAAACCAAAATTTTTGTTTATTTTATGCATGATAGAACAGAAAAGCTTTTTTCGGTATTCCTATGCCATCTTCGGTGTTCAAATTGATATGTTTAAAGTGAATACTTAACGCTAAATCAGTTACTTTTACAATCTTCAACCTCGTTAAATATAACACTTTTAAGTGTTTTCATTATCGATGATTCCTCTGTTTCTAAATTAATTTGTAGGAAGAAATCCAATTGCCGGTTGTTGGATATTTGTTATCCGATGGTTTTGTTCTATGAGTATTGATTCTGCTTGTTTTAAATTATAATGGTTATTGTAATGTAATGTTAGATTTCAACATTGTGGTCCAAGATTTGTCTAGTAATTTTAGTTTTGTGTTTCTCTTTCCTGTTATTTTTTATAGCGCCAGTTTGTACGTGCATCGTGAGTCTATCGATAACTTGGTCGTCGTCATACCAATATATTTGGAATTATGGTGCCCACACTCACCAATATTACATTTGAACAAATATATAAGATGGCTATGATCCATTATCAATTCCGGTTTACCAGTGCAATTGTTTTTCATCAAAAGAAATAACGTTCTTAGGTTGGATTAGTATATTCCTAGTTCAATACTATCATTTTCGTTGTTGGCTTGGACGTTATTTTTAATATTTTTTTTTATGATTTTTTTATCCTGATCGAAAGCGATTGACATGTGATTCTTGTAATATATTACTGTTATTTTTGTTACTATTGTTGGTTGCATTGTTGTTGTTGCTGATTTTTTGTTCTATGCGTTCTATTATTTTCTGGATCATGGAATTTTTATATCCATTATTAAATAGTAGTTAACTTTGACTAATTATTGGTCGTAGGAGGTTGTAAGCCTTATGTGTCTTACATATTTTCATCAGTACACACACCACACACACACACACACACACACACACACACACACACATATATATATATATATATATATATATATATATATATATATATATATATATATATATAAACATACATCTGAATAAACATCGTCAGACATAAATCAACATTAGCCGTGCACTCACACTGTTTCAGCGTAAGTACAACGTCTTTCTTACTTGGATTTTGACGTGTATTCATAATAAACAGGTGGAACAAAACTGTATTTTCAAATCAATGTAAATCGAGAATTTTATTCAACTGAAACTGCATTATTGAATGTCTTATCAAGTTTATTCGCCGCTGCAGATTCTCAGAGAGTATCATTACTATCGTTTTTGGATATGTCGGCAGCGTTTGACTGCGTCAACCCTGATGTTCTTCTGGCAAAGCTGTGTCAAAATTACGGGATAATGAATAATGTATACAAATGGTTTGAATCATACTTATCAAATCGCACACAACAGGTTTCATTTAATGACTCAGTATCAGAGATTTTCATCATAACGTAAGGGGTACCTCAAGGCTCAGTTTTGGGACCCGTTCTTTTTCTTCTGTACACGTCAAAAATTACCATAATAATCAGCTCCTACGGATTTGTCTGCCATGCATTTGCGAATGATATTCAGGTGCTGGTTACTAGTTCTCCTTGTTTGTTTCAAACTGAAGTTGAGAGATTTTTCGGATGTTTATCAAACTCGTTAAAACTAAACAAATGCAAAACTCAATTACTTTTGGTTGAAACGTGGCGGCAATTGCTAAAAATTAATTTTAGTTCTGTTAAAATAGTTGATATATCATTAGCTGATACCGCTTCCAGCCTGGGTGTTTTGCTTGACAACAAGTTATCAATGAAAGATCATATCAAAAAGATCTGTACATCATCAAGTCTTATCCACCTTAGAAGCATGTATAAAACTAAACATTCGTATGATAGACCTACTTTAGAAACGCTGGTCCACGCCTTCATCACATCTCGTTTTGACTACTGCAACAGTTTTTTCTACAAATTGCCGAAATCCTCAGTTGCCGTCCTACAGTCGGTACAGAACAGAGCTGCAAAACACGTTGCTGGTGGTTTGAAGTATGATCACGTGACACTGATTTTGAATATATATATATATATATATATATATATATATATATATATATATTTATATTTATATATATATTTATATATATATATAGGGATCAAAAACTGAAAGAAAAAGTTTGATTGAGAGATGGTAGCGTTGATGATATTTATTTTGATGGAGTAAACGTTGAAAGTTGTTTTAGATATGCAAATAATAAAAGCCATTATGGTAAGTGTCAATATAAAATCTCAAGTTTTGATGTGTGTGGTAAAAAGGGGTGTAACAATAAAAATGCAATAGTTAAATTTCAGTATGTTGAGGATGATAAAATCAACGAAAGGTTTAACGAAGCATCTGGTAAAGGTAAGCCTGCTAAAATTGGAAATGAGGAGCGATCGGTGGTTCTGGGAGTTTTAAATATCAAATCTATAATAACAAAATTCAGCTCTATTTATGGTTTGATTCACGAAGGCCTGGACATCTTTGTTTTGACGGAGAGCTGGCATGGTTTGGCAGATAATATTTCCATTGGGTTATCAATGCCACCTGGCTATCAGTTTGTAGACCGTTTAAGATCGCACGTCCCACACCATGGAGGTTTAATCATTTTTTTCCGATCAATTTTTAGATATAAAAAGATCACTCTGCCACTGGTTACTGCTTTCGAGGTTTTGGCGGTGAAACTTAAAATTAACGAATTAGATTATATCCTACTGGCAATTTACAGACCTGGATCTGAACATTTAACGACATTATTTTTTGATTAACCGATTTCGGTCTTAGAATGTGTTGCAATCATAAGTTCCCGTATTTTGTTAGCGGGAGATTTTAACATTCCCATGGAGAGGTCGAACAATCCAAACGTTGTTAATTTACGTGAAATATTTGAAATGTTTCAGTTGATTAACCACATAGATGAACCAACGCATACTCCAGGAGAAACGCTCGATCTAATTGTGACGTCACACAATATAGCGGTCACTGAAGCAAAGGTTTATCCTAGTGAAATTTATTCTGATCATGGTTTGGTACTGGTTAGTTTATCAATAAAATTGACAAAGTCTCTGAAAGCAAAAATATTGATCCGACTCTGGAATCGTTTTGATGAGAAAGCTTTCGCTGAGCAGTTACTTGAGTCTCCAGTGTCCAGACCGTATAAAACTGATGATGTAAATGCAGAATTTGGTTTATTCAGTGACGAGGTAAGGAGAATTGTTGATAGGGTTGTTCCTCTTGTGCTTGTGCTGCCTGGGCGCGATCATGTTGCACCGTGGTTTGATGATGATTGCAAGGCTTCAAAACGGAAATCTAGAAAAAAAGAAAGAATTTTTAGAAAAAGTTGTAAATTGTCTGATAAAAATGAATGGATATTGGCCCTTAAAGAAAAAACTGAAATTTATTCAAACAAACGTAAAATATATTAGAAGAAAGTTGTCAATTGAAACAGTAAAACTCCAAAAATCTTGTGGAGGGTGTTTAATAAAATTTTTCTAAACAGTCACAGTGAAGGCACAAACGCGAATTCAATGATCTCAATGCTGTCCAGTTCATGACTTTCTTTAATGAAAAAATTAAAGTGATAAAACAGGGGATTGACACTGAAAATCAATCTTGTCTTAACAGTGATGATCATGGATGTCAGCAGTTGTTTTCGACTTTTCGGGCGGTGTCTGAGGCTGATGTCAGGAAAGAAGTGCTTCATTTACTTACAAAGTCCTGTCAATTAGATATTTTACCAACGCGTTTTTTAAAAAAAGCATTTTGAATTGTTTTGTCTATTTATAACTAGTTTGATAAATCTGTGCATGAAGGTAGGTTGTTTCCCCACACCTTGTAAACATGCAATTGTTGTGCCGTTGTTGAAAAAAGGTGATGCAGATCCAGGTGACGTCAGTAATTATCGACCATTCAGTAATCTGTCATTTATATCAAAACTCATTGAAAGAATGGTGTCGAGACAATTGCTTGCTCATTTGAATGATAATAATCTCTAGCCTGCACATCAATCCGGTTTTAGACAATTTCACTCCACTGAAACTGCCCTGCTACATGTTCTCTCAGGGGTTTATGCTGAGATGGTTGCCCAAAAAATTTCCTCGTTAGCATTTTTGGACATGAGCTCGGCTTTTGACTGTGTCAATCATGAAATGTTACTGCTCAGGCTGCATAAAAATTTTGGAATATCTGGGGAAATAATAAATTGGCTCAGAAGCTACTTGATTGGCCAAACACAGCAGGTTTCGTTCAACGGGAGTTTGTCCTACGTCAGTGTGGTTCGCTCTGGTATGCCGCAGAGATCTGTTTTGGGTCCTTTATTGTTTCTGCTTTATACATCTGATGTGCTGAAGATAATTGATTCCTATGATTTTAAAAGCCATTCATATGCAGACGACATTCAAATTATGTTATCAGGTAAACCGAAGTTATTTCAAGACGAGATTACGAGATTTATTGAATGTATGGCGGAGGTTAATCTGTGGATGTCGAGAAATGAATTGAAGCTTAACCAGGGTAAAACAAAATTTCTTCCTATTACTACCTGGCAGCAGTTGGCAGACTTGGATATAAATTCAGTTGTTATGAATGATAAAAAAATAGATTTCTGTAAAACAGTGTCGAATCTAGGTTTTATAATTGATTCAAACCTAACAATGAAATCTCATTTTAAAATGATCTCTATATCATGCTTGGCACAGATTAGAAGAATGAAGCAAATTCGAAAATCACTTGATAAAGACGCAATGCAGACTCTGGCGCATGCGTTGGTGCACTCAAATGTCGATTATTGCAATAGTTTATTTTATGGACTCCCGGCTAGATTCATCAAAATTCTGCAATCGATACAAAACCGTACTGCCTGGATTGTGGCTGGATGTCGATGGTATGATCATGCCACACCGATCCTGAGTGATTTGCATTGGTTGCCCATAAATAAAAGAATTGTTTTTAAAACCTCTGTCACAATTTTCAAATCACTAAATGGTCTGGCTCCAAAATATTTAAAAGTACCAAAGTTTTTTAAGCATGCTAGAAATGTACCAATCTTGAAAAAAAATGGTTGTGATGGTAATGAGTGAACTATAGACATATTTCTAATTTGCCGTTTATTTCAAAAATCATGGAACGTGTTGTCTTGAGGTGTCTGCAGAAGTACCTGGATAAAAATAATTTAATGCCAATTCATCAGTCTGGATATCGCAAATACCACTCCACTGAAACTGCTTTATTACAGGTTCTATCAAATTTATTTGCTGCTGCAGATTTAGATGATCAAAACATATCGGTTTTATCATTTTAGATATGTCATCAGCATTTGATTGTGTTAACCATAAAATTCTTCTGTCTAGATTACATAGCGCCAATTTTGTATGAACTGCACTGACTGAAGGCTGAGAAAAGAATTATTTTCAAGATTGCGGTAATTATACAGATTGTTAAATGGGTTGTCACCAAGATATATTTTAGACAAATTTTCTAAAATAGAGCCTGCTTCAAGTTTGCATCTACGGTCGAATAATATGAATTTGATAGTGTTTCCGGTACGACGATTGCGTTTTGCTTCGAGAGATATTGCTGTTGCTGGTCCGACCATCCGGAACAGCTTACCGGCATCAATGAGAAGACCTTGAATTTGTCTTTTTTTGTTCAAAGAAGAATTGAAAACATTTTTATTTTCCGCTTGAATATGTTTATGTTTGTATTTATTTAGTTTATGTATTATTACAATTTTGTTTTCTGAATTTCCGCTTTGAAATGTAGCCATCTGGCATATGAATTTACATGTCCCTTTAACGGCTGTGCACGTCAGAATGTTTCATAAATCGGAGTAACTACAACATAGCTAACTAGAAGTCTGACCATGCACACAAGGTAAAAACACACTTAGAACACACGCATAATATTAAAACTACAAAAAAATTCCGGACAACAACATCAAAATAATATACTTTAATTCCAGCCATACTCATCTGAAATTAACCGGAGCCATTCTCATCGACATAAAACAACCCCTGATAAACCAACAACAAGAGATTTCAATAATACTCACGCAAGAAGGGCAATATTAAAATATACTAACAACACCAGTAGTACCGATGAAAACACTGAAGAAAGCAACATCGACCAAAGTGCTATCGAAGAGCAAGTCCATGATATCAAAGCAATAAACACAACACCAAAGAAAAAAACATAACACCAAAATAATTAGCCAGAATAAAGAAATCATATCAATTAATAAAGAAGATAGTAAAATTATCAAAGTCAATAATAACAATAAATGCAAATCACAGAAACAAAGACCTGGATATAAAAACTCCCTATATTTTCATTTATTTTAAGCACGATAAAACATTTAAGCATGATAGAAAAAAAGATTTTTTCGGTATCTATCCGTATGCCATCTTTTGTGTTCGAATTGATACGTAGGTATGGGACCAGATGCTCAAATACATATATATAGAAAGTCTCTACTTTGTTGATTTTTTGTATATATACAGCTGATTTCAAACAGAATAAAAAAATCATGAAAAGATTCATAAAAATTAACGTTCAAGCAACAAACAAAACCAATAGTATTAAACTACGAATATACTACTCCAACCAACTTATATATATAAATAAGTAGAACATTTATTTAGATTATAAACTTTTTGCAATCATCTTTCTTCTCAAGTTGTTGATGGCATAACAATGCTTAGAATGTTGCTGCAGCCGAATTTTAAGTTCTTGGTGCAGGCAGTAAATTAAATTTATGAATTAAATTGAAGAACTATCATTAAACAAAACTGAAAAATTAAAAAAAAACTTATATAATGATCCAATTATGCTATCACAAATGTTTTCTTTATATTCACCTTGGTTAAAAATTTCACGATCAGCAGAAACTATAGCAACATATGTAACATTTTTTTCAAGCGGAATGCTCTTGATGACATTAGGAAAGTCCATGTCTACCACTGAAGCATACTCAAAATTTGCGTTTATCCATATTAGTTGGTTGCGAAAGTATGCAAGATCGATTGGGTGGTGAGCATGTCTGGCAAAAAATTAACATTGTTATCAATATTATAAATTAACAAATTTAATTTTGCTAATAGTAATGTCTTGCATAATTTTTTTTTCATTTGTGGGACTAACCTGATGACATTAACGACTTTTACTTTTCCCGTCCAAAATTTTTTTTTTCTAGAATTAGCAGCCTCACGATCTTCGCTGTAATCGCTATTTGAGTCTTCGTAATTTTCATCATCATAACTCTCCATATCACCAATGAAAATTTTTCTGTTCGCAGATTCAAGCCAAATTAATTTCCCTCTTTCATCGTCGATAGTGATTTTAGTAACACATCCTATGTCACTTTTATAAATTTCAGATGACTCCAAAGAGTTGACACAATGCTTGCCTGACAGGTCACAAGAAACAAGCTTGTTATTTGAGTGTGACGAGAAATCGCCAACATTGCATTCCGAATAGAAGATGCGTCTTTTTAGTTAATATAGTAGATGTTATGTTTGTAAATGTTGCAAATGAAATTATTAAATATTAACTAAATCAATTAAACCATGTTAAATAAAAACTAAAATGAATACAAACCAATAACATAATCAACAAATACTGCAAAAATATCTGTTAATGAAAAAAACCTTCTTAATGAATCAACAACAAGAGACTGAATGTTATTCACGTTGCTCTTCTTAACATTCAATGAAATCAATTTAATTTTTTGTTTGTAATGGAAGTTTCCTACCCAAATAGATTTCTAGATAATTTTAAATAAAGAATATTTAATTAAAAAAAGTTACTACAATTTTTTACGTTAACTATGATTTGTTGTTTTAAATTATCAATTGATAAAAAATTTTAAATAGTAGTTATAAATTATGTTAGGCATTAAATTAAATCTTGATTATTAAATATAAATATTTGGTACGTGTGAACACCTTATTTTCTATCCAGTAAATATTTCTGTTAATGTAATCCATCGAAACACTGGTACATTGTTTCAAATTATTGAAAACTGTAGTAGTGTGCCTGGTTCAAGTGTACATATTCTTATTTAAACAGTTTGTTAAAAAAAAAGATAATTAAATATTGCTTTTAAAATTATCAGAATTGTTATGAACATCATTGTCTCACCTAGTCAATGTCTCAAGGTGTATAAGTCCAATGACATCAACAATGCCATCGTCATTTGTACTTAAAAATTTATCGACATAACTTGCTTTATTTCCATTCGCAAATGAACGTTGCATGGCAGAGTTACTATCAATAAAGTTTTCAGGCATAGGATGATCAGAATAATAAAGAGAATATGTGACTGGATCAAATGTCAACGAAGTCAACCAATCAAATTTTATATTTTCTAATTTTTCATAGCTTCCAGATTCTTCGCCAATCGTTAAACGGGTTAATGAATGGCTGTCCGCCAAATATAAAGCTGGGGCATGAATATCGACTAAAAAATTTGGTTGAGTTAATATCACATTGAATAAAAATTAATGAACATGAACAGTAATAACAGTAAAGTAATTTATAGCATTTTGAAAATATGTCTTCTTGGTTGTTATGGTTTCCTGGTCCTTGTTACGCAGTGACCAGGTTCGAATATGGAAAGAGGATCTCCGCCTATCACATGTTTTTGTGTGTGATGAGTCGCAAAGCACCGAATCAAATATGGAAAAAGGATCCCCGCCTATCACATGTTTTTGTGTGTGATGAGTCGCAAAGCATGAATTTATATGAGCTCTTTTCGTGTTATTGACTCCTCTAAACTTTGGAAGAGTGTGATAGATAGATAGAAGGCCAAACAAATGGTGTCTATGGAAAACAATTGATAAAAGGCCATATACGATTAAGTCATTTTTACAATGCTACGTGTGTACGCACACTTTATGCATGTATAATTCTTTGTATATAAGTGTGAAAGTGAAACCCAACCTGCATAAATATAAAAATATATAAATGTGTGTGTAAGTGTAAAAAATGCAAGCAAAAAATATGGTTGAAAATTATCGACTTGCTCATGCGGATACGGTAGGCCTGTTTGTAAGATGGGTTTTGTGAATAACATAAAAACGCCTTGGTTTGAAATGTTATCTACTGAGATAATAAATGTACTAAGTTTTTAAAAGTGCTATCTATTCACAATGTAACAAAATGAAGAGGTACCATACAAAACGGCAGTTATCAATAGTTTATCATTTAAAAACTAAACAAGAGTAAGAATAAGTTTTCAAATTCTTTTTTCAAGTTTCAGTTATTTATTTCTCAAAAATTTCGGTAAACTGTTCCACACAGTTTGTCCTGAAACTGCTATATTTCGGGATGCCATCTTCAAAATGATATTAGAATTAGGGACTAGTATGACATTATCATCCGACTCACGATTCATGCCAATCATCATTACTGTTTTGTGCTTTATGTAAGAAATATTTTATATGTAATTTTTTACCTCATGAGGCAATTAATTAGTTGATTAAATATAAGACCCCCAACCACACACCACTTTTGCACCTTGATTACTGCTTTCATCTCCTTCTCCGCATAGAACTGTATATTCCTTTACTTGTTTCTGCCGTGCCTTAAACTTAGAGTTCCTACAATAACGGGCTACATGACCACTCTTCTCACAGGTGAAATATTTTGTGGCATATATGTTGTGGTTAGTTTTCCCTTTCAAACGGTCGGCGCATATTAAATCGATTGCATCAGCCAGGGTTTTTACTTCCCTACCCTTGAAGTAGTAATCTAACGTGTTTCTTAACCGTGATAGTCCAGATGTGTATCTTTCATTTTGCTTTTGACGAATCGAGTAAAAATCATGGCGTAATATTATAGGGTCAAACCGTAGATCTTTCATTAATTGATTCTTGATAAACTTATACTCCTCCTCAGGATTTTCATCCATTTCATATTCGTTTACTTTTTTTAACTGTTCTGGCAAAACTGATATCGAGCCGTGCTTCAAACAGTGCAACTATTTTTTGTTTTTTAAATTTTTCAACACAATCAAAGCAGGCAGTTCTTTTACGTCTTCTGGATTGGCGCCAATGAAACTCTTTAATGTCAGGGACCATATGTTTAAGTTTCGGCAATCATCAGTTGCCTCATTATTTTCTTTTTTTATTGCTTGCTTATAAGCTCCCAGATCCTTTTTTGTTTGGATTTCTAATTCTTTCGACCTGAATTATTTCCTCGTTCTTTCCTCAACAAGACGTAATTTTCTTTCATATTAAATTCCGCTCGTCGCGCTTCTTTTTTAATTTTCATTGTTTTTGTTTTCAGTCGCATTTTTTCTTTTTATAACTCCAGATCTGCTTGATAATTTTCCATTCCATGGCTTCTTAATCGCGCTCTTGTGCCTTCTGTTTTGATTTCAACTCCATAATGGCTTCGTCCTCAGCCTCTTGTTGTGCTTTTTGTTTATATCTCGTTTCCATTATCCACTAATAATTGGACCTCTTAACTGCAGTTACTCGTGGCAACTTCTGACACCAATGTCGGGGTTCGACTCCAATATCCACCAAAATCTCTCGTTTGAAAAAGATTAACACGTGTAACCGGGGCCAACTTAAATTATTTTATAAAAGAAAAACAAATTCGTCATTAAATATTAACACAAAATATAATAATTTCATTTTGTCTCAATGTTATATCATAAAAAAGGTCACTGTCTGATAGCGAAGTAAAGAAGAGCAGGCTTTTTTATACTTTTATAGGAATACTAGACTGGAGGAAACTTTGGATTCTAAACTCTCTACTGAAGAAAACTGAAGGAGATTTAGAAATGTTAACTTTTTGATAAAAACTAAAAGAGGCTTTGAAATGTTAACTCTATACTGAAAAAAATTTTGAATTAACTCTTCACTGAAGGAAACTCTGAAGCAACTAACTCTTCACTGAAAGGAATTTAGAATATTCTTCTGCATATTAACTCCTTACCTTGCATAGAAATAGAAATACTGTCTTAAACGAAATACATCATTTTCACTGAAAAAAACTTTGAATTAACTTTTTACTGAAAGAAATTCAACTTTTTACTGAAAGAAACTCCGAATTAACTCTTTACTAAACTAATGGAAACTTTAAATAAAACTTTACTCCACATTTTTACACACAAAAAAATTAATTCTACTGCACGCAGTACTACTTCTCGAACTACTCTTACAACACTGAATTTAGCAACGCTTTCGCCCTTGACCTTCGCATTCATTTTGCAGCGCCTAACTATCGAACCCTGACAATCAAACGTGTTTCTTAACCGTGCTTCTGCTCTATTTAAAATAGAGTGTAAAACAGAAGCAGCTCTATCTGACAAAACATAAAACAAGCTGTGCATGAACGAATGCATGTACCAACGTCTGAACAGCAGAGTTTTTAAAATGGCGCAGTATATAACAAAAAACATAAATTTGTTACCATATTTATTTAAACATACATAGATAATATGGAATTAAGAAGGCGACTCAGATAAGTTGCTTTATCACTTAATTTCGGACTCTTATCTCTACAGAATAAATATTCGATTTTGTTATCTATATTTAACTTATAACCAATTGCGGTGCCAAACTAATAACTAAGGTTCGATTTAGTAGCGTAACAGTGATTATGTAATTAATGCTGCAAATACTCTTGGCAGAAATTTCGCTTGAATATTATATCTCTCCGGAAATTTTTTGACAAATACCAGCATCTTTTTTTTGTTCACGTAGACATATAAAATCACTCTTAGTGAGTTCTTCGGAGTTTAAGATAAAAACCTCTAGTAGTAATTAAACATATACAATGTATGGCCGTGACTTATCTAGTAGTTCTCTATACCTGTCTATGGTGTTAGGAAATTTACGTACTATAGTAAATTAGCCAGAATTAAACAGTAATCCGAGAAAATTCTGCTAGGAAAAATTTTCATATTTGAAAACGAAAAATCCTGTGAGCAAATAATTAAATCAAATCAAGTACATACATACATACATACATTTTCCGGCATCATGGCGTGTAAACAGAATTTAACGATTAACGAAGTTTTGTGCTATTTATTTAATAATTACGAGTTTTTGAACAACGATATATTTATTAACAATATGTCCGACTTCTATAGCTCTGAAGAAATCTCGGCTGCCCTCAAACAGATCAAACACGACGTCAATCTCCTAAAGATTGATGTTAATTTCGATACACCACGTGGTCCTAAAAAGAAAGACAAAAAAGACAAACTACGTGAGACCATTCGCTATTTAGGGCTAGTCCGCGAAAAAAAATTATCAACAGAGCTTCCTACATACGTTAGCTCTAACTTACGGGTACCTAATAACGATTCTATTCTTAAATTTAACTTCAATGAAATGAAAAACGACATATGCAATATGATGCACAATCAGCAACTCTATCTATGCAGCATGCTGAACGCAGCCCCTCGAGTCCATAAAAGTGAACTTAATACCAACAACACCGACGTAAACAATGTTAAAAGCTACTCGGTAGCAGCAGGACAAAAACACGCCTCGTACAGCTCGGATGCATCATCTCCCAAGATCGTTCATCCAGCTTCGGAGGGAACCTCGAAGCAGGGAACCCAATCGCTGGTGGATCTCAACGTTGAAGCTGCTCCTGCTCATTCTTCACTTTCAACTCCTAACAATAACATCAATAAAAACAACTCTAATTCCAGTGGCCACGAAGGCTCTTGGAACACTGTTACTTCAAAAAAAAAGAGAAAATACACTCCAATTACTGTAGGTTCCAAACAACCTGGGTCCTTCAAATTATCTGCAGCTTCTTTGCCTCCCAAAAAAATTGTTTTTGGGGTAGGTAAATTGAAAAGCTGCGTCAAAGAAGAGATCCTTGAACATCTGGAAACTATTGGACTGACCGCTGCAGAATGCGTACCAGTCTTTAAATTCTCTCCCACTCGTCCTCAACCTTCAACCAGTGATCCATCAACAAAATTCCGCATAACTATTTTTAAACATCAGGAAATGATTTTTACCAATCCTGAAAATTGGCCTATCGGCGTGGAAATTAACCCCTGGTTGTTTCATGCTCGACCACAGCATTTGATAAAACCCACTACAACTTCACTACCAAATCATTATCCTGTCGACCTACCAAATGTTAATACACCATCGCTGGTCAACTCACATCAGCATGTAGAAAACACAGTTAAGGTAGCTTCCATTTTAACTTCTTCGGAAGAATCCACTCAGCCAGTCGAGCCAGTCACGATGGGCCCTTCTCAGCTGGTCAAACCACATAAACAACAACAAGCCTCATCGATGATGAGTCCTCCCTCCGATGTCAATTCTGCGACATCAATAAATCACGACAATGGCTGTTAACAATACTTATTCCACAATCAATTCTATTCAACAACATCCTCAACCATCAAACAACGACGAAGATGATCAACACTTTAACGCATACAACACCCACATCGACCCCACAAAGAACCTCCTAGATTCATTCACCAGACAGTCATCCTACTACACCACAAGAGATCTACTCAACATTCTAGAAGCCAAGTACATCAACAATCATGATCACCCTCTACCTCTACTTCACATAAACAGCAGAAGTCTTTCAAATAAAATTTCTGACATTTTAATTTTAAATAAATTTTTATCTTATTTTTTTCCCATTATTATTATTTCAGAGACATGGCTGAATGACGAAACCGCTAAACTAGTTCGTATGAATGATTACAATTTTGTTTTTAAAAATAGGTCTGACAGAATAGGTGGTGGAGTCGGAATATTCATCAGATCAGGCATTGAATTTTCTATGATAAACAATTTGCTTCTGAACGACACCGTTATTGACCTTCTTGGTGTCAATTTAAAATTAAACAACACATGTAAATATTTTAGCAGTATATAGACCCCCCAACACTGACCCTAATATCTTAATCCAAAAGCTCAAACTTATTTTACCCACATTCAAGCCACACATAAAGAGCTATTTAATTGGCGACTTTAACCTTGACCTCAATAAACTCAACAGTGAAAACGTCGTTGCTGACTTCTCTAACCTACTATCATCATACAACTTCTTACCTCTTATAACCTCCTCTACTCGCATCTCAACTTCTTCTTGCTCACTCATCGACAATATCTTTACTAACAATCTAACTTCTCACTTATCTGGAATAATTCTGTCTGACATATCTGACCATTTCCCTATATTCGCCATCGCTTCCAAATCAGAAATCTCAAACCATGCCCCTATAAAGCACTTCAGAAACCTAACTGAAGAATCTATAAACAACATCAACAATTTCTTATCGAACTACAACTGGAATTCTTTGACTTCTCTAAAAAATGTCAACGACTGCTGCTCTGTTTTGAATACTATCTTAATTCACTCTCTAGACACTTTTGCCCCCCTCCGTCCTGTCAAAAACAAAAAGAAAAAATGCTGGATCAATGACAACATTCTAAGTCTTGCAAAAAAGAAAAACAAACTATACATCATAAGCCTAAA